TGTGATTTCAAGCTTGTCGATTAAAAACAAATGTCCATATTTATCATCTGATCTATCTTAACCATATGTTTTAAAAGAGCTATATTTATGTGCTTTAAAATAGGTCTATAATCCCCTCTTGATGGAGGTATAAAAAACATTGCAACTAACGTTATAAATCTTATACAAATCCATATCATATATCACAGTCATATCACCTTATTAGACCAGTAGTCGATAGTGTAAATAATGTACTTCAATTGTCTCGTTAGGGATATTTCAAGAATTATACAAAAATATGAAGCACCCTTTGGAAATATGAAAAGGGTTACATACAGGAAAAAAAAAAATGAAGGAGATTACCATTTGCAATCTCCTTTTACTATTTTTAATATTTTTAAATTATCCTTTTATAAATGAATGTAAATATCTCCTCCTCCTGTTCTTCATCTTCTCCTTCTCCTTTTTCCTTCTTATAGAACGATAGATGACAAATGGGATTGGATGACGTTAAGCAACATTAGCGATAAGCAACATTAGCGGTAAGCAACGATAGCAAACAACGTCACCTCCAATTATATGTGCAATAGCATCAAGGAGTCATCGCATCGTATCGACGATATCAGTAAAAGGTAAAAAGGAAAGAACGACTTCCATAACGAATAGAGTTAATAATGATGATGACAGCATCAGTAATCAGGATAAAATAAGAAGCTTTAAAAAAAATATTAATAATATTGATATTATAAATAATAAAATAAAATGTTTTTTTATTATTTTTTAATGAATAATCAGTAGCAAGAAATGATGTCCGCGAATAGTAAGTTTCCAAAGGAAAAAAGACATAAGAAGCTTCGAAACAATAGACGTGAAAACCTGACAAGAAAAGCCCAAATCAAACCAATCAGGTCCACCACGTGTCAACCCACATGAGCTGCACCGCACTTGGATGTCTCACATCCTCCTCAAGCCTCTCTCTCTCTCTCTCTCTCTCTAACTTGTACCGAAATGATTGCTTAAATCGATCTCTATCTCTTATTTCTCATTTACCCGACATTTCTGTCTTCTCCGATCACTTTCATTCTCCCGCGGGACCCATCAGGAATCCTCTTAGTCATCCAATAATTCATCCAATGGAAATAAAAAGAAGAATATATATATATATATATATATATATATATATATATATATATAATTAGCTACGGTTACAAACACGGTTGAGCGGTTAAATCCATGGATGCGGTCATCACGAACTCGAAAGCGAACGTGACGACGAGGAGGGCGGGGCGAAGCGATTAGTTGGCTAATCCACTTTTCCCCGCTTTCTATCTTTTAGCTCACCCACTCCAATTCCAATGGAAAAAAAGGTGGAACAGTGGTCAAAACGTAGACGCCAAGAAAAAAAATAATTTTACATATTTATCCACTTGATTTCTTATGCTTATCCATCCACATTTCTTCAAATATTCCGATATTACATATTATATCCTTTCAAATAATTAAAATTTTCATGTGCATTCAACTCAGATTGACCATTATGATTATTAACTTCTCATTCTTTCAACTTAAATCTAGAGGTGCAAATAAAATTATTAATTTACAGCCTAATATTTTTTAAGTAACAACCACAATGACATATATTATATGCCAAATTAATGGAATTAGTATTAAAAAATCATTGGAGCTAATTTTGCTAAAATAAAATTAAGATCATCTCCTCCACCAAGCGCAGTGATTTAGTAAGTTTTGGTCCCCCAATTAAACCTACCCTCAGAACTACCAAATCCTCCATTTGACGTAACCGACAACGGAAATGAATGAGAGAGAGAGAGAGAGAGACAGAGCGAACTGTACGCGAAAACAGAAAGAATAGTCACCGCCTCTTCACTCTGGTTCAGGAGTTCTTAACTTCCCCAACTCACCCAAGTCGCCACCCTTCGAAGCCAAGCGACCCTCGCTGGAATCCACCCACCCCGCGCAGCCTTAAAGGCTCCACCTTTGGGCGCTGTCGAGAGGAAAGCGACCAGGATGGCGGACGTCGAGGCGGACAGGGGCGGTGCAGGAAAGCGGCGGGGCGGCGGAGCATACGGCTACGGGCCGGCTGAGGCGGGGGAGAGGCCCTGGACACCGTGGCTGGTGCCACTGTTCGTGGTGGCCTGCGTGGCAGTGTTCGTGGTGGAGATGTACGTCAACAACTGCCGCGCCCGCCCCCAGCCCTACGGCCCCTGCGTCGCCCGCTTCCTCCACCGCTTCTCCTTCCAGGCCATCCGCCAGAACCCCCTCCTCGGACCCTCCTCCTCCACGTAAATCCCAGCGTCTGCTGCTTCCTTCTTGGTATCTTGATGATAGTTCGGATCTTTACTCGCTTGCAAGCTTTGTTTGAATGGAAGAAATGTCCGATTCAAACCCTCCTTTTCTCTCTCCCTGTTGGAATTTTAAGTTGCTTACTCGACTTCAACTTTTGTGCTATCTTTTTCCTACCAATTCGTTTAGTTCAAGTGTGGAAAGTTGATGGCTTTCTACACTTTATGATCTGCTTGCTTGTTAATGTTTCGTTTCTCTTCCTTATGAATAACATGATGTGGATTATTATGCTTGGCTAACCTGTGTAGAAGTGTATCTCTTATGCTTCTCGGTGAGAACCTGTTTCTCTTTCTCATGAACATCCCCCTCTCCTTTTCAGCTTGGAGAAATTGGGGGCTCTTGAATGGTACAAAGTAGTTCATCGGAATCAAGGTTGGAGGCTTGTTACCTGTATTTGGTTACACGCAGGTCTTATCCATTTACTCGTGAATATGCTAAGCTTGCTCTTCATTGGAGTTCGTCTTGAACAGCAATTTGGTTTCGGTATGCTTCTATCTTTTAATACATTGGTTCAAAAGCATGTATGTGGATTGCTTACTAGCCCTACTTGTTTTGTTAACTGTAAGTAAGAAAATGGATTTATTTTTGTTGCAGCTGGCCATCTTGCATTTTGGATTTAAATTTTATTTTAGTATTAATTGAAAATTTTGAAGTTGGAAATGGAAGATGTTATTAAGTTGTTTCTGAACTATTTAAGACAAATGTATTCCTGGTTCAAATTGTTGTTTGGTCTGAGTATGATCTACATATTCCGCTGCAAATGGTTGTATAGTTTTTTCTTTTTGCCTAGCATGATGAATTCTCTGCCTTGCAGTGCGCATTGGAATAATATATCTCCTATCGGGCTTTGGTGGAGCGGTTCTCTCAGCTCTGCTCTTGAGGAATAGCATTTCTGTTGGTGCTTCTGGGGCCTTGTTTGGCCTTCTTGGAGCAATGGTTTCAGAACTTATTATAAATTGGACTATCTATTCCAATAGGGTGAGCGTATATATTTTATTTGTGGGGCTTGTACCGGTAGACACTTCAGTTTAGTTTTGCACCTTAGATTAACTAAATTGATCCCTTTTTGTAGGTTGCAGCTTTATTAACTCTTATGGTTGTCATTGTAATCAACTTGGGTATTGGCCTGTTTCCTCATGTCGATAACTTTGCCCATATTGGAGGATTCTTAACAGGTTTCCTCCTGGGTTTTGTTCTATTAATCCGACCTCAGTTTGGTTGGATGGAACGCCATGATCTGCCCCCTTCAGCTCAGGTTACCTCCAAGTACAAAGCGTACCAATATGTCTTATGGGTGATTGCATTGCTTTTGCTGATAGTTGGGTAAGAATGCTTCATTAGTGTTTCCAAGGAATTCACTTTATGGATAAAGTTGCATTGTTTAGTATTGCATTTCAAATTAGCATCACATTGTGCTACCTTAAACTACATTATAGTTTGCAGGGATTGTGGCAATTGCCAAATTTTTGCTATATTCTTAACAAGTTTACTTCATTGTGAATTAATCGTCGATCTTCTCTAATAACTTCCTACTGTCGCTACCAATCAATTACCTACGGAATTTTTATACATTAGCAATGTGATTTATACTGCCATTGACAAATGTATTCTTAGGAACTCTGCTACTTGGTCGGTTCTCACTCTTTGGTTCTGCTGCAGATTTACAGTTGGCTTAGTTATGCTTTTTAGGGGAGTGAATGGCAACGATCATTGCCATTGGTGCCACTACTTGAACTGTGTGCCTACATCAAGGTGGAGCTGTGAGGATTGAACAACAATGAGATTCTTGCAGGGAAAACCAAATGAGTTCTGGGAGGATAGTGAGACAGAGAGTATCAGATGTTTTGTTCTGTTGTTTAGATACAGCTGTACCAGAGTTGTCGTGTTACCCACATTTTGCATATTTTGCATTAGTTGTATTAAGTTGCTATGTAGTGATGTTTGTTATAGAATATTACTTACCTTTATCGATGAGCTATCCAAGAATGGTAGTGTTAACGATCGACTATCTGAAGTTAAAGCAAGGTTGTTGAGATTCCCAGGAAGAGCTACCATCCACCTTGCTCCGCGATCGGCATCTTTGTTTTGACTACTTTCTACTCCATTCGGGGTCGGTTGGTAGTTTTCATTCCACAAAAACCTTCTTGATCGACACAGTGTCACTGTACTTTGGCTTTAATTTACAGCGATTGGTATTATGGCGATAAAATGCTGTGGATGCTTGCGAGGTCAAGTGAGATGGTGCAACTCGACTCTAAGAGCACCCTTTAGTTGATGCTACTCTGCATCTGATGTGTGGTATAAGTTTTGTTAGAGCTTGTCAAGTGCATTGGTTTATATGCAATTCCAATATTGTTCGCCAAGAGTGTGAAAGTTAACATCAAATCAGGAGGTCATGCCAAATACATTATTTCAACTCAGGCTGATGCCTGAGAGGTAGAGCCAACTCCATGAATCTTATAGCAAGCAAATACATTATTGTCCTATTCTTGGTCTTAATTCTTTTCGTATCCGAATATATATAGTGCTCTGGCTATCTCAATCAAATTCCCTAAAAGAAAACTGCAGCAGCCATGTAGAGTTTACTAGGAAAGACCCCCCATTTGTAAGTACCATTGCTGCATCATCCTGCCCATTAAACACACAACACCCACAAAAGACTCCCCAAGTGCTGCAAGCGTACCAAGCAAGACACTATGGCCAGGGTGTCCACAAAACATAAGACATTCAGAAGCAGCTTGAAATGTCATAGATCTCTATGACCTTACTGTACCACCAAATGATGTACATCAATGAACTACAAGCTCACATGCATCTAGTTGTTGAGCCAACCTGGACAGCTCCATGACAGATATTTGACGGATGACCAAACACATGGGAAACAGATTCAGTGCAAGTATTTCACCAAAAGGACAGAGCTACCCTTCCAGCATTTCTATGGGGTTTTACCTATTACAGAAGTTGAAGTTGCAGCAGCAAAGACATTGCAAACCTCAAAACTGCCAATATGATATATCTTTCTGGTATAATTTTCACATGATATTAAATAGCATAACCGATTACCGTAATGCAACTGTAGTATATATACATCACAATTGATTTCCATTTCATTAATCGTTACCAACTTTACAATCAAGTTCACACCATCCAACCATTGTCCTCATCACCAAGATTCCCCATCAAACATCCCATTTGGCATAAGTTCCTGAGCAATATGATCTATTTCTGGCAAATCCATGCTCCCCAGCATGTCGAGACTTGCAATTAAATTGCTGCCACTACTGGTGGGGTTGTTGGCAGCAGTGCTCGATTTGAAACTGTTATTTCTGCTTGGTACTGTCAGTGTGTCATCATTAGGAAGGTTTCTGCACATATTTTGCAGGTCAAGTGTATTTCCAGTTGATCCAGAGTCAATCCTGACTGATGTGCCACTGATGCCACCTCCAATTATATCTTCGGCTGTGGGATTAGCATTTACATCAGAAGCAACAAGAGACTGCTGCGATGCTCCCTTGTCATCGATCATCTCTTGCAGCATTTGTTGAAGGACAGATTGCTGCAACTGTTGGTTCACTTCCAGGGTTTGCAGATTAGTCTGCCGGGACAAGCAACCATCCAATGGAAGTGGCACTTGATGTTGTCCAGATAAATTATTGATGGATGTTTTTGTCGGTATAGATGTGGCAGAACCCTGAAATTGTACATAGTCTGCATGTTTGGAACCACTGGTATTACTCAAAAAAGCTTCTTGCTGACGCACATTCTGCTTTAAATTCAAAGAGCTTTTCAGAAAATTCTGGTGGTTGTTTAGTGCGTGAACACTCTGCTGGCTGCTGTTAACAACTTGGCTAGCTGCCAGATTGTTAATTATACAACTGTTTAACCCTGGATGATTGCCCATAACTTTGTTCATAGATCTGTGATCACCTGGCAAACTATGAGCACTCATCACTTGCTCTGACTCCCACTTTTGTTTAACTTGCCTTGGATAGTTCTTCAAACTCTCTGTGGAAAAACTTATTACCATCAACGATCTAGACCCTGGTTATATTAGCTATTTTCTGCAGCAATCATTTTAATAACGTTAAATGAACGTAAGCAACAGAAAATTCTGAGTTTAAGCAAATATATATTTGAGTCCTTATATGATACAATTTTATAAGTTAAATCATGTAAAAAGAATGAGTCCGAATTCTCATAAAATTTAAGTTAAGTGAAGTCTAAATTAACCTAATAATAATTTTATTTGAAGTCCTACATGAGTGACATGAACATATACTGTGATGTAAGTCATACAACGGAAGTAAAAATAATGTAACTTGAAGATCATTTGTTTCCAGGTATCTTCTGTAAAGTTGTAAAACTATTTGATATAATGTTATCAACAAAAAATGTATTGGAATCAGATGTAACACAAAAGGTCTAGTAATAAAATTATATAGTTAAGATGTTTAAGTGCCGATGCTTTAGCTTGAGACATCAAATAAACATTATCCTTGGTCAAGAAAGTTTCAACCACTAATTTGAATTTTTGATGCAGCACAGAGAATATAGGGGCAATGCTATGTACAATAACTAAACTATTAGATCAAATCTCAGAAGCATGTTACCTAGTGGTCCAATCTTCTGATCCTGGCTAAAATCAATCAGGTCCTTCATGCTATTGACAACCTCAGATATCTGAAAAATCAAATGAATGATGAACAACTTAGGAAAAAAGAATATGACAAAAGACATGAACTCAAACGAGTTCTCCATTACCTGCAGGCACCTGACATATCTTTTGGAGAATCCTAAGTTATTCAATGATTTTAAGTCCAAATCTCTTGCTAGTTGATGACCCACTGCTGCAAACCTAACGAAATGATCACATATCGAAGAGCATAAATGTTGGCCCAAAAAAAACACACATCACAATCTTGTCCGATTGAGAAGTAAAAGCTTCACAAGATGTCTATTTATCAAACAAATGAAGATAATAGATGTTTCCAGAAGTCATACAAGGAATCATCTTGTAGAACGGAACCCCCCAAAAATAGACTTCAACAATGCTAGCTGGCTCAGTAAGTCTCTTTCTTTCATGTACATAAAATAATTTACAATTATTTTGTAATTAGACAACATTATTTTACAACTACAAAGCATAAGAAACTAAATTCTTACTGTCCCCTCTTAGCCAGGAATCCTGGCTTCATCTGTGGTCCACTCAAGATAAGGTTCAGTTGAGCTACCCGAGGTGCTACCCTTGGTGACCATTGATAGAGATGAAATAAAGATCAAAGACAAGATACAAACCTATGCACACAAGGCATCTCACATAAAAAAGATAATGACTATCCACACACTGAAATTTGCAAATATAAATTCCAGAGATGCAGTTCCAAACATAACATAGTAAGTCATTCACACATTAATAAAGATAGTACATGAACAGTATTCAAAGATACTCAGCATCAGATATTATAAATGCATTACATTTACAAATTACATGTTCCTAAGAAGCTAAGATAGGAAGACCCTGATCAACGAATGAGAGATAATATAATTTGAAAATCTTTTGCATCAATGTCTAGATAAATGTGAAAAGTAACATATGATCTGAAAGAACTTGTGTTTGCTTTAAAAGCTTAGGATGTTTGAATAAGTTCACTCACAAATTGCAGCTGGATTGCAAGTATTGATATGAAACTTCAGTACTACTGCTTTCAGCTACAGCAGCTTGATATCTTTGAGCAACTTGCAACAATTGGTCAACCTGAAAAATTACAATTGGTTAACATGAAAAAATTATGTATTGGTTAACCTGAAAAAAATTATGTATTTGTTAACCTGAAAAAATTATGTTAAACAGTTAGAGCATGATGAACTGATGAATTCCCAAAACTAGATTAACTTTAATAACAAAGACTGAAAGCAGCAGCACATGAAGGATACAACTTGCAACAAGCATAAGAGATTCAGAAGTTGGCTTGTAATGCTGAAGCGTAAGCAGAGTTAAAAATAAAAGATAAGTAGAATCTAAATTGGTCACTAAACTGTCACCATGACTGTGGATCAAGATTAACAAAATTAAGGTACTTTCCCCAAGATTAGTCTTTTTTGCATGTTCCTCAATATTTTAGGCTTTCACGTGTACCTTATTAATAAATAAAAGACCTAGATATGAGGTATTCATGGAATATGTCTAAAATAAACCTATACCAAATCGCAGAGAGCATAAATTGGAAGTGATCAAATTTGACATTATTATACAAGTAAGACCAATGTGATGTTGAATCTCGGATTTTGATGATGAAGTCAATTGTCATTTGTTATCTAATCTATATGTTGAGATAAGTGTGCAGGATTAACTACGATGAAAATAAGATATGCAGCAGGAGTTGCGCCGGAGTCAAGACAATGATCACGTTGGGAGTTCGAGAGTTCGACAGAAGTTCGGACAGTCGTCGTCGGTTCTGCGGGAACAAATCCGAGAAGTCCATGAGCTTGCCAAAGAAGCTCGTCGGAACTCGCCAAGTGGATCGTCGCAAGTCCAGGAGTTTGCCGGAAGTCCGCAGGAGCATCACCAAGGGTTCATCGGATGATCGACGGAAGTTCGCTGGAAGCTCGCCGGAAGAAGCGATTGACGCACCGGAGCAAGTTGCAGTAAATGTCTTAGGAAATATCGTAGTTAGCACAATGATAAGTTGGAAATGGGAGGCGATCCCATTAACTTAATCTTGGGGCAATTGGGCCCCTGAAAAACCCAAATTGGGCCGAATGGATCAACCCATTCGGACCCTGATTTCTGCCAGGCGGTTGAACCGCCCAAGCTAGGCGGTGGCACCGCCTGGGCTCAGTCTCCGAGCGAGACTGGGCAGTGCAACCGCCCTTGACAGGAGGTGGCACCGCCTGGGCTCGGTCTCCGAGCTCTGGCTGAGCGGTGCAACCGCCTCAGTCAGGTGATGGCACCGCCTGAGCTCGATCTTCGAGCTCTGG